AAGTGATGTGATAACACTTTTGAGGTTAGATTTTTAAAAAACTCTGGGTTTCATTTTGCTTACCCTCTCTTAAAGTCAACTGCCATGTTGCGAATTGTCCTATGAAACTGAGGGAGACCTTAAGTTCAACCACCTTCAAGGAACTGCATCTTGCTAGACAATCTAGACATTTACCTACCCCAAGGCCCAGCAATTCTAATAAAGAAAGTCTAAATTCATTAAAAGAATTTTCAAGAACATTCATGATACCTGGTAGAGTGGCTCAAGTGGTAAGAGCAACTGCCTAGCAAGCGTGAGACCCTGAGTTCAAACTCCAGTGCTGCCAAAAAAGAATGTTCATGACAGATTTACTCCTGACAGTAGAAGGAATAAACAAACTAGCATATTCATATAATGAAATCTACTCAGCAATCAGTAGGAACTATTAATACTTGTTTCACACAAAAGAAAACCCATTATGCTGAGTAAAAAAAGTCTTAAAGTAAATGAGTAAACATTTTATGATTCCATTTATAGGACTTTTAAAATGGGCAACTCAGTCTATAGTGGAAAAAAGATCCACAGCAGGAGCAGAGACAAGGTATTAGTATAAGGGACATGAGAGAACAGTGAAGTTATACCAACTTTCTATAAGGGTTGAACTTACCTACCTAAGTGTTTGTGTTTGTCAAAACTCTTAATATACACACAAGATCTGCACAGATCAAATCTTTAAACAAATACTGAACTCGAGATAATGATTTGCAAATTAGTTTATTTAGGGTAACTATACAGATGCCTACAATTTACATGGATATGCATTTAAAAAAGACCAACAGATGGAGGAATACAAAGTCGACAGCGTATAACAGAAATTGTACACTGTCATATTCCTCTATTGCTTAACAGTTTGCTTGTTATCATCTTTTCACTACTAGAGATACATTTATGTATTATCTTACAAATAGCTAATTTAGTCTTTAAATTATTTGCTTCCAAAGAGCAGTGTTATTAAGGGAAGAAAAAGGCCTTTCACATAGCTTTCAAACCAGAAGTTCTATGTGAAGTTTTTAAAAAGAGGTTCCTTAAGGAAAGAGTAAGAGTTAAGAAAATGCTAAGTAAAAGACAATCTAGTTTGTAATCAACAGTTTTAAGTCTAAGAAGATATTTGTGAAACTGGCTCCTTTTCCTCTATTATAAACTTAAACCCTTCAACTCTGAGGTAGAGCATTTGCTTGACATTATTCTCAGGAAGCCATGCAGTGACACATACCTGGAATCCTGGCACTCAGGAAGCTGAGGCAGGAGGCTCACAAGTTTGAGGACAGTCTAGGCTATACAACAAGCCTCTGTCTGGAAATACCAGAAGAAAAAAAGGGAGGGAGGGGGACCACTACAGGACTGAAGTATTGACACCTTTTCTTACCTAGAGATGGGCAGCAGTTTAAAAAACACTGTTTTTCACTAGGAAAAAGCATTTGTACTGTTGAGAAAAAAAACAAAAGGCTTGATCATACTGAAAAATCAAGATTAGGAATGAGCTGAGCAACTTCTGTGGGGTTAAGTGTGTAGCATAGTAGACACCATTCAAAAGAAAACAAAATTGGCACCTTAATTTTGCTAGTTTTGATACTAAAACATCTTGAATTACATATGATAATATAAGTAGTATCAGTTTATCAGGAAGACTATTTCAAACTTTATTCAACTTAAGGTAAATACTATGAAATCTCAGAATCTAATATGTTATTAAAGCCTTTAAAAAAAAAAAACCTCATCTGAACTTTTTGATAAAGAGACTTCATCAGGATTATATTGGCCCCTTAGCAAAAATATGTCACAGGAACTGAAGTAAGATGCTATCACTTTAATTTGGTACTATTTTAAAAGCTCTTTGAGTGCTGTATTTTGAATAGAAAACCAGGGTCAAGGATCTTATCTGTAGAAGAGAAAGTCTCATATAAACTCTAGCCAACAATAAAAAATTTGAAATAGTATTTTTAAGGCACTAGTATTTTGAGAATTTAAATTAACAACAGAAAGAAGACTATGTTCTCATTGTGGATAGGATGATTCCATTAAATACAGTCTCTTTTTTAATTCTTCTAGAAAGAATGAAAGAATAAGGTTACTCTTACAATAATATAAATAAAGTCATAAGGATTTAAATATGGTGTAATATCACTTCTGAGATTATTAAAATGGTTTCATGTCATGTTATGGAACTGTAAACTCATTTTTAAATAGAAATAAAGTATTAGTTAACATTACTCCTTCCAACATTTACTTGACTAGCAAAGTCTCACACCCTTTAAAATTCCTGCTTCAAAACAAACCTCTCTATCTAAAAAGACTAACTACTCCAAACCCAGAATAGCATCATGTACTTTTCTCATCATTCTGTCTTACGTACTTTATGGGATTTTGTTATTGTTTTTCTTTTTAGATTTCCCTACTACACTGCAAGCTCTACAAGGTTTTTTTGCTGCTCCAAGAATTTACCAGCATTTAACACCTGACATATAAGTAAAAAAAAATTTGCAGAAAAAATGAACTATCATTTTTAACTTTTCCATCCAAGAAATTTACTGATTTCCTATCTTTAAAATAGCTATTCTGTGACAATTCAATGACTATCATAATAACCAACTAACAGTCAACTCAGAAGACTTTAAAGTACACAGCCCACTCTTGATGGAAACTTTAATGTTATTCATACAGAGTGTGGTCAACTGACCACAGGATCTTGGGTTTTTAAATCATGGAGAATTTTATTGTTACTGTTTTATCTGTTTTCCACAACTGAGCTGAAAAGTCAGATCAAGGTTAGGTTCTCGTAACTGCATTATAATAACAGGATTGCTTTACTGTTTGTATTCTAGCTGATCTGGGGACAGAAAACTCTAGAACAGAATTAAAAGTAACTTGTGAAAACTAGAAGACATGATTTGGAAGACAAGCACTAATTTATGTGTGACTAATACTAAATAGGTAAATTAATAAATATAACTTATCATTTGTTAGTAAAAGAAGCATGGTAAGAAATGACAAGATATATGAAACAATAAGTATGCCAAAGTAAACAACCTTGGTTGATTTATAAAGTCAAACATCTATCTTTCAGTTAGGCTGAAGAAAAATAAGCCAGGAGTGGTGGTGCACTCCAGTGATCCCAGCATTAGGAAGGCTGGGGCAGGAGGATAGTTTAGGGTTAGCCTGGGCTACATAACCAGACCCTGTCTCAAAAAAAAAAAGGAAAAGAAACACTATTTCATCTAAAACAAGCAAGACCCTTGAGTGAATATCTAGTTAGAAAGTCTATTCATGACTCAATTCAATACATTCCTATGAGTAGTGTCTGTATACCAAGAACGGATGCAGTGACCTAATAATGATTTCCTATGTTTTATACCAGTAGTCATAACCTATTAATGGATCACAAATAGCTCTTACAAAAAATGAATTGCAATATGCTAGAAAATATCAGAGTACCACACATGTGTTAAGGAAAATAGAGTTTTCTGAAACTTTTGATTCAGTTGCATATGTGTATGACAATGTAAAATGTATTTCTATGCATGGTCTGCAATAAAAAAAAAACGTGAGAGCTACCCTTGTCTGTAAGTCCCCAATTACTTCTTCCCTTAAAGCACTGCAAAAGTTTGAAATTCTGCACTGCAACTACACACAAAAATGAAAACTAACCTTAACCCAGACACAGATTATGATAGCTTAAACTTGATTGCACAAGGTCTGAAAATCAAACTGCCTGAATCCAAGTTCTACTACTTTCTGAGTGAATTTGGACAATGAAACAATATTTCATCTGTAAAGCGAGAATGACAATACCAGCCAGGTTGTGATAAAAAAAAATCAAATAATAAACTTTGAAACATATGTTTTACTATTAACAGAAATGACAGACTGACATACATTAGATATGTGGCAAGAAACTTAACAGAGGGTATCTTTGGGGTGTTACCTTTAACAAGTGTATGTGGGGGGGTGCCTTTTCATTTTGTATCTTTCTGTCCTACTTGAATTTGATTAACAAGTATATATAAAGTACTTACTCCCAATATAATGTTTCTAATGCATATAACATTATTACCTTTATTTTTAAAAATATCAAGAGGAGGTGTCTGGGCAGTGAGATTATGGCTCTTTGCTTCTGTTCTACATTTCTGTATTTTATAGAAATGTATTAGATGTTTCTAAAAGAAAATAATCAACTACTTGTTTAAAAGAAAGAAAAAAAAGACAAAGGCAAAAAGTATGGAGTCTAAAGTTTAGAAATTTGCACTTTTTTGGGGAGAATTCATATGCCAGAGACTTCTAGCTAAATCCTCACACAAACTTTATTCATGAAAAAAAGTGAGATAACTGAGATAAGGTAACCACACACCAGCACAATGGCGTGTTTACAACTTCAAAGCCTGCCTTTTCTTCCACCAGCATAAGACATCCAAATATTCTTCTCCCAGTTCTTTCACGTAAGTCTATTTTGGTTTCCCCAACCAGGGTGTAAATTACTTGCAAAGGGAGAGTTTCAGAAACTGTGTCTACATCTTTCTTTAGGTTACTAGGCCTACAACAGATCCTTAAGCACTTGTTGCGTTACCCGAACCTTGTTCTGGTCTGGATTGTCCTCGAGAGATCTAACTTTGTGAAAACAAACTAAACTAACACAAACAACAAAAACTACCCAAATCCATCTTGCTTCCTACACGCTCAGATGTGAAAAAGTTGGTCCACATTCAGAGACAACCACTACAGGGAGTTTGGGAGTAAGCACAAACCTCACTGTACAAACACTAAAGAATGGATTCACACAAGCCCTTTCCACGCCCCCATCACCCAGGCGCTAACGAAAGAAAGGAACCTCTAACCTTCCCGTGAGGTGTTAAAGAACCCATGACCACGCCCCCATTTTGTCCCATCATAACCACCTGTTTTCTTTTTCTAGTCTGACCACCCTCTCCTCACCCCAAAACCCGTAAAAAAAACAATTCGTCTCTGACCTGCCGCGAAGTGCAAGGGAGAAGACTTCCGGCCAGCCATGTCCTTTGCATTTACGTTTGCGGCGTCCACCAGCCTCTTTACCCGGGACACGTCCCCATTACGACAGGCCTCCAGCAGTTCGCGTAGAGCCCCGCTCACTGCTGGGACCCCTGTCCCGGGTCCCGCCGTCCCAGGCCCCAAAGTTGTGGTACTAACTCCAGCCGCCTCGGGACTCTCAGCCAAGCTCGATCCGGGGGAGGATGGAGAAGATGATGAGGAGGAAATCGGGGAAGAAGAGGACGACGGTGAATTGTTACTGCCACCGCCGGCTGGGTTGGGAGCGACCCCGACGCCAGATGAAGCGGAAGTCGCCGGGACCACGGTGGCGGCAGTGACCGTACAGATTGTGCTGGTGGTACTGCAACAGCTGGTACTGTCAACCGGGTCCGGGGATCGGGGCCTGTCGGGTGGATCCCGACTGCCATCCCCCTCCGGCAGCGCTAGGCCGTGCCGCGGGGAGGCGAAGGGGACCAGGCCGCCGGCCGTGGGGGAGGCTGGGGTGGTCCCCGGGGCCAGGCCGGGACTGAGGGGGGGGGGAGGTGGTGGCGGAGGCGCCGAAGCCCCTGGGGCGGGCTGGAGCTGTTGCTGATGATGGTGGTGATGATGCTGAGAGCGACGCGACGCCGCCATCTTCGGACTCCCCCAGCACTGTCACTGCGGCAACGGCCCCACCGCCCGCCCTCACTTCCGACCTCTGGACCAATCAGCATCCAGTGCACAGGAAATGATTGTGGGCCCTGTGGGAGGAGTTAAAGAGAAGGAGCGAAGTATTTGGAGCTCTGAGAACCACAAACGGAGGGGGCGTGGCTTTGTGACTGAGGGGCGGGCTTTGTGACGCGCTGGCGGGCAGACTGGAGAGATTTGAATGCTGGAACCATCCACGGCCCAAAAATTGGAAACTTCAACTTCTCACTTTTAACCGGCTTGCCTGGCCGAGTTCAGCTCGATTCCCTGGTCTCCTTCAGTTTTTTCCTAGCTTGATCCAGAGTCAGCTCTTGAGGTGTAACTTGTCGCAAGCATCTATCCAGTGTCCTTGTCTGAAAAACGGAACTAATAATACCTACTTGAAAATACCTTGCCAGTCATAATAACTATAATTATCCCAGTGGGAATTTTTTTAAGTGCAATTTTTTTCCCCCAGTTATCCCTTTGGACTCTTTCTCCTTCCCTAAATTTTCTCACTCTACCTACGTACCTTGTTGATCCCTCAGGTTTTTTTTTTTTTTTTGTCTTTTTAAAATTATTATTATTCATTTATTCACATGTGCATACATTGTTTGGGTCATTTTTCCCCCCTGCCTCCCACCCCCATCATCTTCCCCCTCCCCCCTCGCTTCCAGGGATCCCTCATTTTAAAATAGTGTTTCAATTCGGATTGTCAGGATTTGGAATTCAGGGTCTACCGTTTGTTAGCTATGTAAATTTGAGCAAAGTATTTTGCCAGCTACACTGTGTTTCCCCTCTGTCAAATCGAAATAACGGTAGTTTGATAAGTGCTAATTATTAAAATCATGATTTTTCCCTCGTCTGTTATCTACTTTATTTTTCTCCCTAAACTCTAATAATTATGAATATGTTCCTTTAAAATTTTTTTTAGCTTAATCTCTCTTCTCCTCCATTCCTCTCACTCTCCCTCTCTCTCCCCTCTCAAACTAAGATAAAAACCTAACTGCTGTCTTATGCACCTTCAGAGGACATTTTCAGCAAATGTTTTTTCTCTCCCTTGCCTGTACCTACATTTATATGTCTGCCAACAAAAGAGCTGTACCCATGAATGGGATAATCTCAGTGAAGTCTCCATTTTATACCTACCATTCAGTAGTAAAATAGGCATTTTGGGAGTGGACACAAATGGAGATTCTGTGCCCTAAGAAAAAACAAGATGGATAAAGCACAGTATTAAACCAAGTGATGGATTGTTGTTTAGCATAATGTTAACTATCAACTAAATGCAATGTGATCAGGAACATAATTGATGAGTGACATTTAATTTTCATCGAATCTTGGGTTATAGATTTTAACTATAACATAATCCCTTTACGTTATAAATTTGTGCCATTGTTCACAGCAGACACTTGACAAAAAGGGTGACTAGATAAGACAACTCCACAGTGCAACTAAAATCAGGCCACAACACACATTTTTTTTGGTTTTTGAATCCTTTTTTCCCTTGCACAAATGGTATTTTATTACGTTTGACAGTCTAATTTACAAATCTCTATACATTTCGAGGAAAACTTCAGGCATCATAAACATAGAAATTGCAATATGCAAAACTCAAATTTATAACAAAAAACAGAAATTTTGTGGGTTTTTTAGACTATGGTTATTACTGCACTATCTTTAATTCTTTATCTGGAGTCCAAAGAATGTAGGCAAACCTCCAAAATGTAGCAGAAGCACTTCTGCACACTAGTATCTAGTTTTGCAGAAGTGTTTCCACAAGATTCATAGTGTACTCTTTGGAAGAAACAAGAGCGGACTGGTTGTTTGCCTTCCGGACTTTTTGCAGCTCTTCAATGGGATTGCATTGTTGGTTGTTATAAGCCTTGAGCTACATTAAGATCCACAGTTTCCCTAGACTCTGTTTCTTTTTCAATAAATGACTACATGGGTTTTTCGAAAGGAATATATAGCAAAAGATGAGCTTCTACTTGCTGTGATTGTTATGATCAGCCCCAAAGGAGTAAGTTCCTTTTTCACCAGGATTTCGAAAGTGCTCACTATGATTTCAGAATATTGTGCCAAATAAGCATCAATCTCTTGAATCTTAGTGCCCAGCACAGGATAGCACTGAGAAATGAGAATTGAGTGTTAGATATCCATGACTCCCCTTCTGCCCCTTGAGTACGGCCTTCTTTCTGAATGGGAAGCATAAGGAATATCTCATTTGGTCCCCCAATGACCAATTACTCACATGGTCAGAAAGAAGTAGCGTTCAAGATAATTCAAAATGCAACTAATGTGTCTATCAGTACAAAATAAGAAAAGTCTGCTGTATAGCGTAAAAAGACTGAATTGCCTGAAACTACTTTGTGGATAATGCATTCTAAAAATGCATTCAGTCAATTGCAAATTGCTTTTTTTCATCCTCAATGGAGAGTAGTAAAAGTACTTAACATTAAGTATTTATAAAGCTTATAGGTTCATATGGATTAATGTTGAGCTGAAAACATGAAAGGGCAGCCATCACTACCTAATCCACAGTTAAACACAATGCCATTAGGGATGCATTATACCATAGGAGAAAGAGCAAAGCCTGGAGTCAGACAAACTTGGACTTGGATCACATCTTTGACAATTATTAGTTAGCTAATCTTAGTAGAGATACTTCAGCTTCATCAGCCTAAAATTCTGATCTTATTGGAGCATTGTCATGAAGATTAAAAGTTCTAGCTGTTTCTTAAGCCCTTCTCTAATGTTAGTTTCACTCTCCTATGTGGCTGTCAAGTGTTAGCACTAACTCACAACCACTGTTGACAGCTTTCTCTTCACAACTTCCATTATGAAAAAGATAAGGTTTGGGATTAAAGAACCATCATTTAGTATTTAACAGAAATCTTAAGTAAGAAAAGATCAGATTCATTTCCTCATTTGATCAGAATTCTTTGTAGGTCCTGACTATCTCCAAGAATTGCTGAGGATCACTGTAGAGTAAGTAGCATCCTATCATTTTCAAAAATGTTTGCAGAAAAATCATGCTTTTAAAAAATGTGAGCATATACCATTTTCCTTGGCCATACTGTTGACATAAAAGAAAATGTCACCAATTTAAAGGGAACTCACTTTCTGGACTGTGTTACTATGTTTGTTATTTTTCTCCATGGAGTCACATGGACACTCAGAAAGTTGCACAATCCTAAGTTTGCACAAGTTCCATATTTCAGTTAAGCTTGGAGTAGTTATTCCAGCCACATATTTCCCATTGATGTGCCCCAGATCCAAGTTCATTAGCAGTATTTGGATTTATTAAGTCCATTTATTCCTTGACGCCCTGTGAAGTGCCACCACTGCAAATCCACCAGCACCAGCCAGAACTATAGTTTAAGGAAGGCAATGTTAGGCTCTCACGTTAGTCTTAAAAGGAACATAAATTATTCTTATGTCAGAAATGCCTGTGGTGCTAAAGGCCCAGATTTCTCTATAAAAGTTTTCTGTTTTCTGTCTGTGGACAACAATTCCAACTGCAATGATACCAACAACATTGTATCAGAAGAAGTTTTGTTTAAAGAAGAAGCAAAACAATGTATTATAAGACAGGAAAATTTTGTAATTCAAAAAGCCTTTATATCAGTTTCTCAGTGCCCACATATTGACGTTTTCACGTGTGTATAAGACATTGTCTTACATGCTGGGATCCTCTAGATGTTGCTACAACGAGAGCCTATTGTAACCTACCCTCATTATTTGGATTTTTTTCTTGCTTTGATCTTTACCCTTGTCAGCAATCAGTTTGATATGAAGTATTAGTTTCTTGCAGAGAGAAAGTATAATGTAGTAATTAAGAATTTGGATTCTACATGTCAACTGCTTAGTTATGAATCCTGACCATGTCTCCCTGTGTAGGAGTAAAGGATTCCATATCCTACATTTTAACAGGTATGAATAAAAGCCTATTTGCTGTGCTTTAAAAAAAATGATAAGCTTTCACACTAAAAATGTTCCTTTGCCTGTGAACATTGTTTTCCAAAAGTAATTAAAATATACATGTATATCCCATTAAGGACTACTAAATAGCTACCTCACTCAAAATAAGATACATACTTTCTATCCCCCAAAGTCACAAAAATGTTTAGAAAATTTCTCAAAAGTTCTGGAATGCATTGGTAAGCAATGCAATATATAATTGTGTAATGTTTTATGTAACTTTAGGTGTAACTGATCAAAGTAGAGCTCATGCAACTACAAACCAATAGATTGTGAGATGCTCCCAGAGGTCTCTACCTTCCCAATTAGAACACAGGGCCACCAGCTAAGCTATAAAGAAGGTAAATCTCTGCCATTGCCTGAGGTATTAGACTACTTCTCTCTCCCATTGACTGTGAGGTGATTACCCTCCCTGGTAAAGATCGGAACAAAGACCTTGGCCAGCAGAGGCCAGCAGAACTTACCATGGGAATGAGTGGCAAGTGAGGCAGTGGGAAGTCCAAGTGGATCCCCAAACAAGAAGCCCCTGTCTTCTACCAGCTCTCTCCTCTTGCTTACAGGTTCTTACTCTGCTTCTCGGTGGAAATCAATAAGTGAAAGCTGTTTGTTACAGTTAAGTGGTGTTTCTGTGCGATTTCTCTTGGTACTACCTACTCCTCTATTTCTTGAACTTAGGTCATTGTTTTGATGTTGAGTTGCTTGGAATAAAAAAATCCATGATAAGTCATTTAATCTCTTTGGGACCCCACATGCAAAGTAATGATAGGAATAGTTGCTAAAGTTTGTCTTTTGCTTTACAGTGTCTTAAAGAGAAGTCTAACATGCTTGGAAACAAAGAGTCATATTTGGAAAAGTGCAACTGGTTCCTTCTAGCTGTAGTTGGGGTTGGGAAAAGGTGCAGACCACAAAGGAGGACACGTTGGCCTGGAGGTATGCAGGTTCTTTTCAAAAGTTTCTGCCCCATGGTGCTGAGAAAGCAGTGTCACTGTTGTAAGGGAACCACTACAGCTGCCAAGACAACCTCAAGAGAAACCAACACTGCCTTTGTTCCTGAAGATCCTGTAGTCCAAAATGTTCACAGAAGAAATCTCCCACAGAAGTCATACT